AAACTGCAACACTGAAAGAGTCTTAGATGAGGCCAAAGCTGTGAGACAGCTAATTATCTCTGTCTTATAAATGTGGTGCTCTCTGGGTATGAGACAACTTCAACAGTTCTTCTTTTGTCTTCTGAACTTCTGCTGATAGGTACAATCCAGATCATATCAGAGAAAGAAGGAACCTGGACAGTTTTCTGACTGAATTAGGAATCCTCTCTTCTATGGAATCTTGCAGAATTTTTTCCCACTTTTCAAGTATTATGTTAATGGTTATGTATTTGTTTTTCCTGCCTCTCTAGATAAAGTGGCGAGGCATGGATGAACACTAGAACTCTACAATTTCAGATAGTAAATGGTAAATTTTACTCTTCTGTTTGTTGTTACCTTAATGTAGCCTTTTCTGCTTCAGCTGTGTGTACTCAGTACAGCTTCTTTCTGCTATATCCATTGTGTGCCTACAAATCAGATCAAGATCACCAGCTAACATATTTCTTTTGATGTTGTGTGACTTAAAAAAACATTATTTGTAAAACATTTGGTTCCATATGCATTTGATTTGGATAGAATGGGTGATTAGGAAGAATCAAGTAAAACAGAGTGTGAAGTGATAGTATTTGGGATTGTAACCTTTTATCTGGTCTAGTGATGTAAGTAGTTTGGTTTGAAAAGGGAAATATTATCCTGCAGTCTTCGAATAGAAGAGCTGGATCTATCACCCTGTAGTACAAGGAAAACCATCAGATTGCAAGTAGGTGGTAGAACTTGGAGGCTGTTTTAGGTCCAAGGCATGACAATCTTGACAAGAACAAAGGAATAAGAGAACCCTAATTACTGACATTCTGATGTAATACTACTTGACCCAGTAAGGGGGTGACCATTTTCAAATATTTCTCGAGGAAAAAAATATCTCATATTATGAGAATTATGGACTTAACATTGGAGGAAAAGAAAAAAAAAAAGCGTAACATCCCGAGTTCAGGGCTCAAATGTTGAGTTGTCACTTAAACTTTATGCAGGTGGCTTGATTTAACTAGCCCTCTTAGGAACGGGCAAACTTGTATCCAACTAAGGGCAGGGCTTTTTGTAGTGAAGAGCTTTGTTTAGAGATAGCACTTTGAGTGTTACATTGTCACAACGTATAATTTCACACAGCAGTTCGTGTTCCACAACCTCAGCAGTTGAAAGTCATCTCCGCGTGTCATCCTAGGGAGTGAATGGTTCATTGGCCACATCATGCAATTGTATCACAAAAACCTTGGGGATTAAACACCAACAATCTGCCTTAATGAAGCCTGCCAGATCTGATTACAGTATTTGTCACTGTTTTCTGGCCTGACTGCCACAGCCTTGGCAATATTCTCTGCTTTTAAAACAAAGAAAAAATAGGCCTGCAGCTGGGAGCGTTGATTGAAATGGAAATCCACGAGGAACTGAAACAGAAATTTGGTCTGTACCTGTCTGTTCTAGGCTAGATGATATCAAATTAGTTTTAATCCCCATAATGACCACTTCCTTGGCTGAACTCAGGGAAGATCCATGCAGGGATTGAGATCAGATGTAGGATCTACGTACTCTCTGGGGTAGGCTGGTATTCAGGAACCCTCGGTCTGGAAATGTCCCCCAGTAGAGTGTAACTTCATGCACAGTGCAGCAGCTTTTCAATGACCATGCACAGAGTGAGAGTACCTCTGTTTCTGCACTGACTTCTCCATAATTGCAGGTTTATGAGTCAGTACACGGATCACTCCCAGCTCAGCTGTGTCTGTTCCCACATTGTAGACATGGCCTCAAGTATCTAACAGTCCTTTTAAGCACTTCAGGCAGAAATCTAGATCTTTGAAACAGACTAGGTGTTTGGAGACATTCACAGCAGCAACTCAGCATCTCTATTACCTAGATACATCACAGAACCATCACAAAAGACATTTTGCCTGTCTTCTCTAAAAGTAGTTATTCTGACTGATTTTGTAAATGCTTTTACCATGAGAGATGCTGAAGTTTGGTTCTATTCTTGATGAGCAGCCAATATCTGAAGCAGATGCAGGACTCTCTAGGTTAGTGCTTTACACAGCGATCTTTGTTCTCTTCTTCACTCCTTTCAGTATTTGCTAATAGCAGAACAGCTTCAGAAAGAATCCTACCTTAGAATAACCTGTACAGGTCTCATTTTAAAAAGGGAACGTTGGTTACATTTTTATCTGGATGCTGGTAGAGTTGAATATTTGACCTTTAAGTACTGAAGTTGCCTCCTGTCAGTCAGCCTTTGTGAGAAAGGGCATATGGAGGCAGTGGGCTCAAGGCCATTGCTTTATTGTGAAGTAATATACCCTGGCCACATACGCTGCGTAAGGTTGCTGTAGCGACACTTTCTCCGAGGGGAAAACCGACTGTCTGTATTCCCACAGAAACCACTCCTTGCTGAGACAGGGAAAGTGAGGGAAATGTAAACGAGAGAGAGAGATGCACACAGATGTCGTGTGATCTCTGCAGCATCCCTGCCCTGTTGTAAGTTCAGCCGCACGTTACAGGGTTTATTTTTAGTGCACAGATTTGGACTGTATGACTGGCACCTTCTCTTGGCATGTAACCTCTGCCCGCCCCTCCCTTCCACTGAACTGGTTGTGCAGATGCTCTGCTTTGGCACGGAAGCGATTGCATCTGGTAAGAAAGTCCAGGTCTCTGGGAAATGCTGTGCAGGAAAAGATCTTGCAGTAAATGAGAATTTCCCCCTTGTATTGACTCTGCTTTTCTGAGAGAAGTCAGCAAAGACAAGTATGGAAATCATTCCTCGTGGAGAGGAGTAATTCTCAACTGTTTTGTTGGTGAATGATTTCATTCTTTGGAGGTATGAGCAGGTGCTGCTCGGCAACGTGTATCTTTAAAGATCAGGGTGTCTTGAAAAGGAATTAACTCCAGTCCTAGGATTTGTTAACTGACAAAAAAGAACAGCCATTTCTTCAATGTTGCTTTAGAGTCACTGAAGGCAAGTATGGATTCACATTTCTGAAATGCTTTTGCGTGTTGTTTTTGTTTGTTTGTTTGTTTGCAAGTAATGTTGGTTGGTTTTATTTCTTATTTCTAATTTCTTTATCTCTTATTTCATGAGCAATAAACTCATGATATTCGTTCAAGGCTTAAAGTGGCCACAGCTACAGATGAACACGCTGGCTACTTCACCCTGTCATCTCTGCAGCTTAATGGAGGAAGCAGGCTGACGTGGTTAAATCAAATCTGGCAGCTGTGTTGTATTGCACACGGGCAGCAAGCAGCGCACAGCATACAGAAAATGAGTAGCTTTCAGATAACAGCCCTCCTTTTGCTGCCACAAGGCTTGAAAGGCAGACTCAGACCTCTTCCTCCTTTCTGTAATCACAAGTCACCAGAACAGCGTGCAAATATTACAAACGCGGTGGCAAATGTAAATATTCATTGCCTGTGCAGTGCTTTCAGATTGCTAATTAGGATTTCTGCCTTGGTGTTCTGATGGAAAAAGCAGAGGGATGAAAGCTGAAACCATCCCACGAGTGAATGCTTCTCTGCAGTGTTCTTTCAGCTTTCTGTGGAGGAGCTGCTGAGGGAAAGGGATGTATGAAAGCTTTCTGGAACAGGTTGCAGTTGTCTGCTGATTTTTGGGGATGTCTGCTCACTACTTTGTGAGGGGAGAAGCCAAGCAAACTCAGGAGGTGCTTCTAGATAGATGGCTTCCTGCTTCTGTTAGATAATATCAGACATGCAGCGAGAAAGAAACTTGAGTATTAACAAGCTGCTTGTGCAGGAGAGAGCTCTGTCGTGGTATTTTTCCCTTGAACCTTTAAAAATTCATACGTGCAGAACTGGACTTCTTCTTAAGAATCTCAGCAGTACCTTATTACCAGAAATGCAAGCAAATAGTCATAATTTTCTCCCTCCTATTCTGTACACCTGGCCTTTCAGCTCAGGAAACAGGCAACAGCAATATACAGATACCTGTACTGGCTCTGCTGTGTTCCCGTGCTGGGATATCTTTCGACCTCCACAGGCAAATCCTAAGCTTTCTCCTTACTGGAATCACTGCTTATGGGACTGAGCTGTCTGCTTTGTAGCCTTGTTTTGTAGTGTGGGAAAGGCACAGTCTAGCTAACTGTCTTCTTTTAGGGTATGTACGAAAGTGGTATAAAATGAATTGCAGCCACCAGGTGGCCCACACGGATTCCTTTCTTAGCTCACTTCTCTCAGACCTAGAAAATTGTCTGTGTCCCAGTATGTGCTTAAGTAGGCAGGAAATAATGTGCCACTGCTCCTTTATTTGCAAAGGAGCTTTTAATAACACATCTCCTTCCTTTTTGCCTGTGTAGTTGGGTCGGAGCTTTAAGAAAGCAGCAATTTGAGCTTGTAGAATGAAAAAACCTTGATTGAGTGGGCAGCATGCTGTATTCTGTCCTGGTTCTGTCCGCGCCTGTTGTCAGCCTTTCTGTCTCATTGCTGGCTGTTCACATAGCCTCCTCCTGCCCTCAGTCCTTCCCACTACTTTCCACTGTTTGCAACCAGAGAAACAGGTAGCTGTTTCTTCTCCCCTACAATTTCAAGTTCCTCACTGCAGGGATCTCAACATACCTCCTTCTTCCTCCTTGTTCTTGAAAGCAGAAAAGCAGGGTAAGTGAGGCATATTTCTAGCCCTGCCTATGCTGTAAGAACGGATGGCTCCAGGCAAGGTTTGGAGGAAGACTAAGCCAGAAAACTTCTAGCATAGTATGCTTTTTTAGAAGATGTAGCACTACTTCATCTCCCCTGGGCCTTTGGACTGTTTGGTGTGGTTCTCCACATGCTCCTTTCTTAGCACTACTGGTCACATGTTAACATTTCTGATTCTTGGATGATCAGTGTTTTCAAACAAAAAGGATTTGGATGCATTACTTTTGGTTCAGAACTTGTCATGGAAATTACAGGAGCGGTTCCTGGACACGGGCTTTTGAAAGAAAGCTTACTTATTTAAATGAAAGTTTATGAGAAAAAGCAATACTGAGACATTGTGGTTTAGTAGATAGTTTAATACAATTTACACACAGTTGAGTATGATCGATAATGTTGCAGATAATTCTTTAAAAATGGGTTACTGTCAGTGCCAAAATCTATGTTATTATAATTCATCAACAGTGAGTGAACTAAAGCTAACCTTAAACTTCTCCAAGAGTAGATTTGTCTCAGTTCATCTGACCTACGGTTTTACTGTCTGCACAAAGTCTGCCAGCTCGTTTGCATCGCAAGATTCATCTAGAACTTAAACTATGTAGATTTCAAAGCAGTCACCAAGTCCTGCACCAAGTAGTCTGCTATCAGAATGAAAGGTGAGCATCATAACCTGTGTCTCAGTGACTGAGGAGGGGCAATTTTCCTTGCTTTAACAAACAGACGCTGTAGTTGAAAAAATATCTTTCAAAGAATTGGTTGGACAGACTAGAGCTGCAGTCTGTGTACCTACAAGTTACTCCATCTACCTAATTTCTGTGGCTATAAATTACTTCACCTATTGCTGAGCATGCGAAGACTATCAGAGACCCCTGGTGAAGTAAAAAGACCTTCCCAAAAAGAGCTATGTAGAAAAATATTTATCTCATTAGTTCTAATGTAGTTTCTAGTGCAGAAACAACATTCCATTCCCACAGTTTCTGCTCAACATCACTCGTTCTCATACACTTGCATCCAAACTTAATGCGAGCAAAAACGTAAGCCTCAATCCAGTTTGCTATTTAGTATGAGACTTCCATATGTCTGATTCAGGCTGCTTCCAGTCTTCTCCCATTAGTTCTTTCAGATTCAACTCTTGGAAAAATTCCAGGCGATGACTATAGACAAAGGAGAAACAAAAAACATTAAGTTCCAAAGTACCATCTTAGAACATTCTCAGTAGGCTTAACTGATGTTTTTTCCCATCCTTTCTGGGAATGTAAACACTGTTTCTGAAAATCTTGTACTGGAAAGAAGGCAAAATCCTGAGCTACAAACAGGAACAATGGTACAAAGTTAAAAGGCAGAGTTTAGAGGTGAGCTCTTACGTTGACCAAAAATGCAGTCAGAGCAAACACAAAATGACTACCTGCTCTACAACGTATCTGCACTGCAGCCAAATATCGTTTACAACTTTTGACCAATTGGAAAGTCATTGCACAAGGAGAACCTCTCCTTACAGAAAACTGGGAGACAGAACAGGATAATGAAGCTAATAAGTATTCTTCTCCTGTAAGGCCGCATCTCACTTTCAAACGTTACAAACTGGTTCTTGCTAGGAATTCTCCTTTGCATTGCCAAGCAGAATCAACTGAGGCTCATTTCTTAGTAATACTTAAACAGCTGCCAAACAGTAAATAGAACAGCTGGTAGCATCATTTAAGTAAATGAAATTCTCTAAATAAGTAGTGTCCATTTTACATGTGAAGGCCAGCTAAGAGCAATTAAAGCAGCATGGAGCGACCTCTTCCCATAAATACGTTTACTGTTCATCTCTGAACAAGTCAGGATTTCTATGAAGACATACTCTTAGAAAACAAAAAACAACCCTTCTTGAAAATTATTACAGGCATTCTGCAGTTTACTCATCTATCTCTATGTTGAGTACCAAGTTTTCATGAGAACTGCAGCACTCTTGTACAGCTAGTTCATTTGCACTAACTGCCCACACACAAGTAACAGCCTTATTAACTTGTTGCAGACTCTGAAAATAAACAAGTCCACTCACAGCACAATGTAAACATGCTCTAGTTTTGCTGTTCATAGTGGGCATCCTTTCTTTACACTTCCAATTCCATCTGTCTTCTCTAGTTCTTCCATAACTCAGAGCCATCTCTAAGGCAAAAGAGACCCGCTGGATATTATTACTCTGGTACAATTAACATTAAATAGCACTTCAAGAGGTGCTGTAGGCAAGGAGAAAAGAGCAGACCATCTCTGATTTTTTTTTTTTTTAGATGAGAAGGTGATAACAGATGCAAATTACATTGAATGCATCATTTGCTGTGCAGCTAGGGGATAACACAGAAATCAAGCTCTAATTACTGCTATCTGGAAGTTCTTTACACGAAGTACAGTGGATCTGAGGCTGAACAGTATAGTTAAAATATCAGTGGCACCTGGATTGGTGTCTTCTACAAGTACTCCAAGAAGAGTGCAAATATATTACAGAAGAACTGATTTTATGCTTACAAGTCTGGTTTCTGGCCTTCCTGAAGTTTGTGTCGAGGCACAGGATAAAGTGCTTCATATTTTCTTTGATCTTCTGAGCCGTGGATTGCAAAGGCATTGAACTTGTTAATGCCTGGTGGAAAATAATTCCAAGGCAGATGAGCTCTACCCCTCCATTTGGTTTCCGTTCTGGTCACATCGAATTCTAAGGGAAGTTCTTCCTGTTACACGTGAGGGGGAAAAAAAGGCTATTTATCTTTTACTGAACCAACAGGTATCTAAAACCAGTGAGGTTCTGTATGTTATGAATGCCCCTGACCACTTACTTTCCACTCTTCTTTCGCCAGAAAGCAGCAACAGTAAGTGTTGTCCATGACTGCCAAAAATCAGAGCCACGCTTTTCATACCGTGACGCCAAGTTTAGTGCATTTATCTGCCACAATGTACATCCTCCATAGTGCAGTCATTCCTGTACCCTGCACTGCATGCACTGCACACCACACCATGCGCACGCTTCACGAGCATTGAAACAAGAAACATAAATTGCACTCACGACTTTTTAAGCAAGCTGTACTTACGGACAAAGTTCAACTTCTAGATACTGCTCACTTCCGTCACTCAAGAAAAATGCTTCTACAACTTACAAAGAGACAAGCTGTCAATATTTTATACTAGTTGTCAGTTCTGCTATATTCCAAGGCCTTCACAATCAATTGTTTTCACAAAGGTTTCTGGCCCGTGCCGTCCCTGACTTTGAATAACTGTGTGCATGCGACTGACACTTTCTAATTCAAGAGCTGTGCTGTAATCCCAACCTCGAGGGCTTTTGTAAAGGCAACAGCACACTTCTATTTATTGACCGCTCACTTTGCTGTCGTTTATGTGATGAAAACTAGAGTCTCTCTCTTGATTTATAGCTGAATACAACATGATGTTCATGTTACTTCAGGAGCTTTCTTAACCGTGGTGCTGGTTACAACCACGTTTTTTTGCGAGCAGCCTTTTCCAGAGCGCTCAGGATAAAGCTGTCAAACTAGAACAAGTTTTAGAAAATAACCAGAGAATCTTCAATAAAGACCAGGTATGGGAATTGCATAGGAACGTCAGTGGCTCCACAGAGCAGATGCTTGCAGCAGAAGTTACACTTACCTTCATAGTCCCACAGTTTTCTGAAGGGTTTCCCTGGTGCTCCAAGTGGCGCTGGAGGATCATTGAAGAAGGGAGCACTCACTTGCATTAGCAGTCCTGCATCATACGACTGAAGTGCAATTGCTACGGGGTCGTGGCTCACAGGTAAACCATCCCACGTGTGCTCAATTCTTACCTCCATCTTCATGTTCTGCACGAGATAATGAAGAAAAGAAGTTCCTGTCAAAGCACACAGATACCATTCCAACACCAACTTCACTGTCTGGCTAAGAAAAAAGTCTCACAGTTAAGTAGGTGAAAAAATAAGCGTCAAGCTCCCAGACATAACCAGAAAGAGTCAACTGATTCTTCTCAGTCCTACTTAGGAACAAAGAAAGACGGACGCCGGAACAAGTCTCTGTTCTAAAGGCATTATTTCACAGAATCGTTGAGGTTGGAAAGGACCTCTGGAGATCATCCAGCCAAGCTGTTTGCTGGCAAAACAGTGAGAAAGATGAGATAAATGGATATAAGAACCCAAGATGGTGATGTGGGAGGCATAACGAAGATTTAAAACAATACAGTAAGCTATCAGTTGACTTAAGACATCCAGTAAAAAGGCAAAGGCAAATATTGGACTGTCAGTTCTGACAAGGTCATATGGAAATAAAGTGAAAACTAAGCTTTTATGTCGGCATTTTTTTCTCTATAATACGCTGGACCAATTTCAGATGTGCTACAAGAAATCATGGATAGCTTTGGAAACCAGGGAAGCCTCGAGTATCATTAACGCACCCTGCAACTCAAGCAGCAAGATTACAGAAGTGGGATGATAGATGCTGAGCGAAAAGGATCAGCACATAAAGGGAGACAGGTACCTCGGCGTCTTAACACCATTCTCAAGGCAGGCGTTATGCTGCATGCAGCAACCGTGCGGAGCAAAGGAGCCGATTACAAGTGCAAGAGAAGCCCTTTCACCGATCCCCAACGCCGCCGGTACGAGGAAGGTTGGGCAACGTCAGCACCCGCACGGACACGCGCTTCCTCAGCCGTACCGACGCCCCCAAACCCGCAGCTCGCTCGGAGGACTGAAAAACGACAGCGCCGCGCCGCCGGCCGCTCACTGCAACGCCACCCGACGAAGCCGCCGCCGCCGGAAGCCTCAACCCCGGCCCGGCTCCGCCCTCCTCCCGCCGCGTGACCGGCGCCGGGCGCTGCGCTGGGCCGCCCGTTAGGGGGCGAGCCGGCGCCGAGTGTTTCCCGGCGGCGCGGCGAGGAAGGCAGGTTGCTGTTGCCGCTCCTCCGTGCCCGAAGCTTTCCTTCGGGGAGAAGGAGGGCTGGGCGAGAGGAGCGGTTGCTCCTTGCCCGCCCCTCAGCGGCGCCCGCCCGGGATTCTTTGTCGGAGCAGGAGGGCGGCGGAGCTTTGGCGTGACGGCATGGCCGCGGAGCTCGGCTGCGGGGCAGAGCCGGGTGAGGGCTGGGCGGGCGGCCTCGGGGTTGCTCGCGGCCCTTGTGGGATGGGAGCGTTAACCGGAGCTTTAACCGAGTGCGTCTTCGACGGCAAAATACCGTCAGAGAAAACCTTTCCTTCTAGCGCGTAGAATAAGCGGGAGTTGATGCGTTGCCGTAGAATCGCGGAACGGCTTGGGTCGGAAGGGAGCTGAAAGCCCGCCCAGCCCCTGCATCGTGCTGTAGGCAGGGCTGCCCGCAGCTCAGGTGCACCCAGGGACGGGGCAGCAAGCACGGCTTCTCTGGGCAGCTGTGCCAGTGCCTCACTGCCCTCTGAGAGAACATCGAGTTACTTATTGCATAGCTATGTTACTCTTGTAGGTAGTTCACAGAATCACAGAATGGCCAGAGTTGGAAGGGGCTTCAAGAATTATGAATCTCCAACCCCATGTGCAGGGCCACCAACCTCCCCATTTAATACTAGACCGGGCTGCCCAGGACCCCATCCAAGCTGGCCTTGAACACCTCTAGGGATAGGGCATCCACAACCTCTCTGGGCAGCCTGTTCCAGCGCCTCACCACTCTCGTAGTAAAGAACTTCTCCCTGACATCCAACCTAAATCTTTGCTCCCTCAACTTCAAACCATTTCCCCTTGTCCTGCCATTATCCACCCTTATGAAGAGTTGACTCCCTTCCTGTTCCTCCCTTTAGGTACTGAAAGGCTGCAATGAGAATCATCCCACAGCCTTCTTTTCTCCAGGCTGAACAAGCCCAGCTCCCTCAGCCTGTCTTTGTAGGGGAGGTGCTCCAGCCCCCTGGTCATCTTTGCGGCTCTCCTCTGGACCGTCTCCAACAGCTTCCTGTTTTTCTTGTACTGGGGGTCCAGACCTGGACACAGTACTCCAGATCGGGCTTCGCAAGAGCAGAGTAGAGGGGGGCAACTACCTCTCTGTCCTTGCTGATGTCCCTGCTGACCCCTCTTCTGAGGGAGCCCAGGATACCATTTTGTTTTCCTAGCTGCAAGAGCACACTACTGGCTCCTGTTAGGCTTTTCATCAGGTCTCCCATGTCCTTTTCTGCAGGGCTGCTCTCACAGACCGCACCTTCCAGTCTGTATGGATGCCTGGATTCCTCCGGCCCAAGTGCAAAACCTTGCACTTTGCTGTGTTGAATCTCATTGAGTTCGCCCAGGCTCACCCTTCAGGCCTGTTGAGGTCCCTCTGAATGGCATCCCTTCTTTCCACTGGGTCAGTAGTTGTTTATTTTATAATCACGTGATTCTAAACGGAGCTTAGAGCAAATTTGCCTCTTTCTGACTGACAGCCAGCTTCATCTACTTCATGGTTCACGATCCTCTAACTTGTATTATATAATTATGTAATTGTATTTTTCAGATCAGAAGCTAGGCGTTGCATTTGAGCAGGATGAAGCAGATGAGATTTTGAGCAGTGCTGCTGAGGTATGTAAACTGAGGACTGAAAGTGGGTAAAAATAAATATGATTTAAGATACGCATCTTCATATCTGTATAACACTCTGTTTCAGTCTGGTCTTGCCTGGCTTCGAGCCCATCGCTGAACTGTAGAGTTACACTTTTTCCAAGCAGCAGCAGAATAAGACTTTTTAAAAAGTGAATTCTGCTTGCTTGGTGGTTTTTTTTTGTTTGTTTGTTTGTTTGTTTGTTTTGTGTTGGTTTTTTTTTTTTTTTTTGGAGTGTCTTCAAAAATAGGTCCTATGTTGGAGAAAGCCTGATTCCTCCAAAGTTTTTTAACTTCTGTGGATTTTTTTCCCTTGATCTCATGGGGAGATAACTTTCTGTGGTGAATAGCATAAACCTGTCTGAAAACCGTGCAAAAGCTGAGGCATCAGCACCAACTTGGGGCTCACGTGCACAGAAGTGAATGTGGCTCTTGCATAGATTTAAAATGGTTGTTCTAAGAAAGATTTGATGCAGTTATGCCTTATAGCAAAGCATTTCCAGGAAAAAGAGCAATGAACATTTTTTCAAATCTGGCCAATGTTCAAGGACTGTAATATCAACCTGAAAATGATTGCTGGGGAGTCTGTATGTTCTTTTCAATATGGACTGAATAAACTGCTTTGCTTTGCACGCATTAGAATAAAAACAAACCACAAACGCAGTCATGTGCTAAAATACAAAATAATCAATTACAGAAAAGCGTCGCCGGAGGTGATGGCATATCCAGATCCAGGATGATGGACCAAAGGTAAAATGAGTGGGAATACTGCTTCAGAAGGACTTGAAAAGCAAATAAGTGCATGAGTAGAGCTGTGATTATTTATTTGATTTTTTACATCCTTGTATGGGTTACTGTACTGTTGTGCTGAAAGCAATAAGAAAGCCTGGTTTCTAATCTTTCTGGATCTTGATCTATGTATGAAATGCAAATGTATTAAAGCTCATCTGGAAAGCATGCTCTGCTTCTGTTACACAGTTAATGATCAGTAAAGATCATATAAAGGGAATAAAGAGGAGCGACAGTTTTGTTCTGTTCTCCAGATCATGAATTCTGTAAAGCTGGTTAATAATCAGAACAATGTTTCAGCATTTACAGATGAATTCTAAGCATGTTTTTCCATGTTTCAGCTTGATAACAAAAAGCGTAGAGTATGAAAAGTGCTTGGAAGAAATGAGGGAGCAGCTGCAGATTTATCAGGTACGTTTCTGGCTTCCTGTGACTTTTTGCAAAGTGAAGTCTTAATGTCATCGATGGTATTGTGCTGAATTGACACTGTCACTGTTTTCAGTATTGTTTATTGAAAAAATAAAGTGCTGCAGTTTGCCTCTTAGATGTTTTTTTATTAGGTGCAGATGAGTGAGATGAGACAGAAGTTTGAACAGGTCGCCACGGAGAACAGGAGGTAAAGAAGAGCACTTTACCTACTGCTGCTATTTTCTTGTGTGGTTTGGTGTTTTTTTCTGTCCTTTAAGCCTGGAACTCTTTTTCCTAAGACTTGGAAATATTTGAATCTGCTTAATAGTTGAAGATTTCATACTCACATGCTTAATGTTACTCTAAGTGTCTAATATAGATTACAGCACCAAATTCAGGAGGCTTAGCCATATCTCTGCAAAAGAACTCGGTATTAATTTATACCCTTTTTATAGAACATATCTTGCTCAATGGATTTAAAAGTGAGCTAGGTGTATATGGGACATACAAATCAAAGGTACAGTACTTCAGTTCATTTAGAGAGAGTGTATTAGATAAATACTGCACTGAACTTGGTCTTTTGAATTTCAGGCTGCATGCAGAGTTGAAAGAGGCTCTTGAGATGCAGCTGGATGCTCTTCCTTTTATGCCCCTGGGAACTGCTATTCCTGCAGATGAAGAAATAGTGAGAAACCTTCAGGAACAGCTCCAACTGACTAATCAGGTGTGTGAGATGAAACACTTGTACTCTTCTGTTTCTTCTGTGCCTTGACAGATTAGGGAAGGATAGTTTGTTTCTTGGTTCAGTATTTGTTTATAGCAGTTCCTTGACAGTATTTTGAGGCCTTCCTGATTGCACATAGCTTAAAAAAAAAAAAACCTCAAATGCACCCATACTTACACTTTCAACTTCAAAACCTGAAGGAAGTTCCTTTCTAGTTCCATACAAGCAGGAATTTCTGTGTTCATTTGTGCCTCTAACTTTACTTTGTTGAATTTCTGTCCAGAAGATGAATCAAATATTTTGTTGGATTGAAGTTATTGTGGTAGGCTGACTTTTTTTTTTTTTTTTTTAATTAAAGTGTAATGTGAAATGAGGGGCAACTGTATGTGGAATACAGAAAGTAACAGTTAGATCTGAATAGATCAGCAAAATGGCCTGAATATATTACAGAGATGATTCAGTTCTTTTGCAGTGGACTAAGCTGAGGTTAAATTGACTCCTGATTTTTGGTATTTGAGCATTATATATACTGTAGTCCTAAAGTAAAGAATTGCAAGACTTTGACAGTTTCAGAATGTGAGTGGAGTTTTACTTTTGGTAGGAGCTATTAGAATAGTGCAGAACTTGCAGCTCCAGTCTAGATGGAATGTGATCTTGTAAACATCTGGGGTTTTTTTGCCTCTGAGTTTGTTTTTCTGTGTGGTTGTAATGTGTGCAGAGAACAATAATAATTAAAAAAAAAGCATTTCAATAGAAATGTACTGTAAATATTTTAGAGACCTTTATTCTTTCTAGGAAAAAGAACAAGCAATAGAGCTCTGGCAGACTGTATCACAGGAGCTTGATCAACTCCAGCAGCAGCACCGGGAACACATGACTCAAACACAGATTCACATGGCTGAAAGACTGAAACAGCAAGTAACTTTCATGGACATTTTTGTTAGTTTTGGAATGCCTTCATACACTGCAGAGATTCTGCGTCTGTGTGCAGCCAAACCGAAGTGCAGTTTGTACCAGTATCATAGAGTCATCATAAAGCCATAGGATGGATTGGGTTGGAATGGACCTCAAGGATCATGACGTTCCATCCCTCTGCCACAGGCAGGGCTGCCAACCACTAGATCAAGTACTAGGCTGGGCTGCCTAGGGCTCATCCAACCTGGCCTTGAACTGCTCCAGGGACAGGGCGTCCACAGCCTCTCGGGGCAGCCTGTTCCAGCACTTCATCACTCTCTCAGTGAAAAACTTGCCCCCGACATTCTCGTCTAAATCTTCCCTCCTTGAGTTTAAATCCATTTCCCCTTTTCCTATCACTTATTTACCCACGTAAAAAGTTGATTTCCCTCATGTTTATAAGCTCACTTTAGATACTGGAAGGGCCATAATGATGTCTCCCCGCAGCCTTCTCTGCTCCAGTCTGAACAAGCCCAGCTCCTTCAGCCCATCTTCATAGGAGAGGTTCTCCAGCCCTCTGATCATCTTCGTGGCTCTCCCCTGGTCCCGTTGTTGATTGTTTTCTGTAATAGTTGTTATCAAAAGTGGAGTGGTCAGATGTAGCCAGCGATTCAACAGTCAAAAGGACAGTTGGGGTTGGAAAGTTGGTTTCAGATATGTGGGCAGTAACTTAGGGAGTGCACCGTGTGCGTTTTGGTGCATGTAGAGAAGTACACAAGATAGACAAATATAAATAATCATCCTGCTGTTGTTCAATTCAAATATAAGTAGTTTCACTTACCTGTTGTCATTCAATAGAGAAGCTGAATAAACAGCTGAAAAATGAAGGTTGCTAATCTCCAATGTTTAGCATTGCGTTTCTTCAGCTGCTCCTTGGGAAGCCTTTAAGCTATTTGTTAGTGTCTTAGCTTGCTAGGTTAACTGGTTACACTTCAGGAAATTTTCTTTCAGAGGAATAAATTAGGCTGTAAGAAGCTGTTTTGCTCTGAGCTGTAAAGAGTGCTCAGCATTCAAAGAGCTCATAAACTTCACGTGTACGTGTAGCTCACCACAGCTATATTCAATGTATAAAATCTATAAAATCTGCATCGCATTTTCAAGTGCGTTAGACTTGCGGGTGCAATTATTGCTCCCCTATGTAGCAGGAATTTGTTAGTGATGTTTTTAGTCCATCTAAGCGACGCGTTCCTTTCTACAGCTGCTGCGTTCTCTCAAGTTTTATGGTTATTTCAAATAACAGTTATGAGGAGCCGTGAGGAGTTTCTTTGTTGCTCAACTTCCTGTTTCTGTTACTGGATTTGTTTGCTGTTGGCCACTGGTAAATCGTAGCTGTTGGAGATTGAAGGGGCTGTAAGAGTCTACTTTCCATGACCAAATTCTTAGTGGATTTTACTGCTATTTTCTCAAGAATGAGATTGAGCAGCCTTTTATTCTTAAAAGCACTTTGTGTCTGCCATAAGACTTTTCAGCCGAATCAGCCGTGTTTTACATTTTGCTTTTAACAGAGGAGCAGGAAATAGCAATCAGAGGTAGGCTGAGTAGAATCACAATCTACCGGAAAGCAGAGATGAGCTGTGAGATCCTTATTTATGCTGTAGGTGTTCTATAAGGGAAAGAGTAAATAAAGCCTCTTCATGCAGGCAGACACTTATAATTCTTAGTGGATACATTTCTGCTACAGTGTTAGCAAAAAAGCTTACAGTATCACCATAATCTGTGTGGCTCTGAGAGGCACTGCTTTTCTATTTTGCTATTAGAAATTTGTAAGTGAATGAAATTCAGATACATTTTGCATTAGTAAATCTACTACATACATACATCAATTCTTTGAAAATGTTTTCCGTTGACTACGACTGTGATACTTAAACGTTCTTTGTTGGTGATGATTCTAAGAATCTGAATTCTACCTTTTAGGATCAACTGGCTAACTTTCACCAGCTTACTTCACACCTGCATGCAGCCAGTGAGAAAACAGAATTGGTAAGTAAAACCTAAGTGATTTTTTTTTTTTTTTAAATCCTATTGGATCCTCAAGGTACAAACCAAAAGAAAAATATCCTTCCAGTTTATCTAGATGGAAAAGAACTTGTGTCACTCAGATTTGTAAAGTTGTCTAGCAACCAGTCAATAATCAAGCAGCAATGGCTCCTTCCTGAAGACAAAAGCACGTAAGTCTTGGTGGTTCAGAGGTTAGCTCTTGATGTTACAGGAACTCTCTTTTTTATAAGAAGCCACGCTATTTTTTTTAATCCATATTTGTCCTGGATGCTGTCAGTGTGTAGACTAAGGAGGAAAAAAAAGCAACAGCAAAACCCAACCCACTGTGTATTGCAAGCAGTTCTGTTTCCAAGCTATTTCATTAGTTCTAATAGTAGCAAAGTAATGCACTTAGAGAGAGGGATTTTTATCCTTTGCAGTCAGTAACCTCAATCAACTGTTCTTTAAGCACAGCTACAATTAGAGCTGAGGGATTGCTGTCTGAAAGCAATCTCAAGAAAATACCATGGGCTTTCAAAACAGTTGTTTTGATTGAGAAGTTGCATGCTAATCTGCTACATCTAAACAAAGCAAGAGGTATCAAGAAACAGAATGGCTGGATGCTTAAAATCGTGATACGGGAAAGGAATTGTGGGCAGAAATGTGAACTGGCTGTATTGTTTGAAGGAGACAGCATTAAGACAGAGGCTGTCCATTTGTCTGCATTCTCCAAAGTGTTTGACAAGGTCTCTTGCCAAGGATGTAAAGATGTCGTGGAATGAAGGTGTCCTTCCTTGAACTAAAAAAGTGAAGAGTGAGAAGTAGAGAGCAAGATTAACCAGTCAGGTTTCTTATCAGGGCTAAGACAACTGTGTTCTCTGTGTTCAGGTTTAAATTTTTCAGCATACCTAGAAATGTTCTGGAAATGAAATCTAATAAAGAGGAGGC